TGGTTCAACATCCGCAAATCAATCAACGTGATACAATACATTAACAAAAGAAAGAACAAGAATCATATGAGCCTCTCAATAGATGCAGAAAAAGCATTTGACAAAGTACAGCATCCTTTCTTGATCAAAACTCTTCAGAGTATAGGGATAGAGGGTACATACCTCAATATCATAAAAACCATCTATGAAAAACCTACAGCGAATATCATTCTCAATGGGGAAAAGCTGAGAGCTTTTCCCCTAAGGTCAGGAATGCGGCAGGGATGTCCACTCTCATCACTGCTATTCTACATAGTATTAGAAGTCCTAGCCACAGCAATCAGACAACAAAAAGAAATCAAAGGCATCCAAATCGGCAAAGAGGAAGTCAAACTCTCACTCTTTGCAGATGATATGATACTGTACGTGGAAAACCCAAAAGACTCCACCCCAAAACTGCTAGAACTCATACAGGAATTCAGTCAAGTGGCAGGATATAAAATCAATGCACAGAAATCAGTGGCATTCCTATACACCAACAACAAGACAGAAGAGAGACAAATCAAGGAGTCGATCTCATTTACAATTGCACCCAAAACCATAAGATACCTAGGAATAAATTTAACCAAAGAGGCAAAGGATCTGTACTCAGAAAACTATAAAATACTCATGAAAGAAACTGAAGAAGACACAAAGAAATGGAAAAACGTTCCATGCTCATGATTGGAAGAACAAATATTGTGAAGATGTCAATGCTACCTAGAACAATCTACACATTCAATGCAATCCCCATCAAAATACCATCCACTTTTTTCAGAGAAATGGAACAAATAATCCTACCATTTGCATGGAACCAGAAGAGACCCCGAATAGCCAGAGGAATGTTGAAAAAGAAAAGCAAAGCTGGCGGCATCACAATTCCGGACTTCCAGCTCTATTACAAAGCTGTCATCATCAAGACAGTATGGTACTGGCACAGAAACAGACACATAGATCAATGGAACAGAATAGAGAGCCCACAAATGGACCCTCATCTCTATGGTCAACTAATCTTTGACAAAGCAGGAAAGAATGTCCAATGGCAAAAAGACAGTCTCTTCAACAAATGGTGTTGGGAAAATTGGACAGCCACATGCAGAAGAATGAAACCGGACCATTTCCTTATACCACACACAAAAATAGACTCCAAATGGTTGAAAGACCTAAATGTGAGACAGGAGTCCATCAAAATCCTAAAGGAGAACACAGGTAGCAACCTCTTCGACCTCAGCCACAGCAACTTCTTTCTAGAAACATCGCAAAGGCAAGGGAAGCCAGGGCAAAAATGAGCTATTGGGATTTCATCTAGATAAAAAGCTTTTGCACAGCAAAAGAAACAGTCCACAAAACCAAAAGACAATCGACAGAATGGGAGAAAATATTGGCAAATGACATATCAGATAAAGGGCTAGTATCCAACATCTATAAAGAACTTATCAAACTCAACACCCAAAGAACAAATAATCCAATCAAGAAATGGGCAGCAGACATGAACAGACATTTTTGCAAAGAAGACATCCAAATGGCTAACAGACACATGAAAAAGTGCTCAACATCGCTCGGCATCAGGGAAATCCAAATCAAAACCTCAATGAGATACCACCTCACACCCGTCAGAATGGCTAAAATTAACAAGTCAGGAAACGACAGATGTTGGCGGGGATGCGGAGAAAGGGGGAACCCTCCTACACTGTTGGTGGGAATGCAAGCTGGTACAACCCCTCTGGAAAACAGTATGGAGGTTCTTCCAACAGTTGAAAATAGAACTACCATACGATCTAGCAATTGCATTACTGGGTATTTACCACAAAGATACAAACGTGGGGATCCGAAGGGGTACGTGCACCCCAATGTTTATAGCAGCAATGTCCACAATAGCCAAACTGTGGAAAGAGCCAAGATGTCCATCGACAGATGAATGGATAAAGAAGAGGTGGTATATATACACAATGGAATATTATGCAGCCATCAAAAGGAATGAGATCTTGCCATTTGCAACGACGTGAATGGAACTGGAGGGGGTTATGCTGAGTGAAATAAGTCAATCAGAGAAAGAGATGTATCATATGACCTCACTGATATGAGGAATTCTTAATCTCAGGAAACAAACTGAGTGTTGCTGGAGTGGTGGGGGGTGGAAGGGATGGGGTGGCTGGGTGATAGACATGGGGGAGGGTATGTGCTATGGTGAGCACTGTGAATTGTACAAGACTGATGAATCACGGATCTGTACTTCTGAAACAAATAATGCAACATATGTTAAAAAAAAGAAAAAGAAGAAGATAGCAGGAGGGGAAGAATGAAGGGGAGTAAGTCGGAGGGGGAGACAAACCATGAGAGACGATGGACTCTGAAAAACAAACTGAGGGTTCTGGGGGGGGGGATGGGTTAGCCTGGTGATGGGTATTAAAGAGGGCACATTCTGCGTGGAGCACTGGGTGTTATGCACAAACAATGAATCATGGAACACTACATCAAGAACTAATGATGTGATGTATGGTGATTAACATAACAATAAAAAAATTAAAAAAAAAAACCATCAGGGCCACAAAACCAGTGATCCCCAGGCTAAAGCAAAGCACATCAGTTACTGTGGAAGAATCCAGAAAAGGCGTGCTTTCCATGTAGTCACCATTATGCTTGTGGCCAGCCTTTGCAAGTGAATCCTCAGGCAAATGAAAAAGCCTCCTGGTCTTTCCAGACACTGTCCCCAGCACTTCATCAACAATGTCCACACTACCAGGAGCCCCTATCCAATATTCACATCTACTTTCAGTCAGTGGTGGTGAGTGGGAATAGATAAGAACTGTGAGCAACCACGCACTCACTACTCATTGCCAGCTCACAAACATCAGGACTGGGGCCCTAGTTCTCATAAGAGCCCAGAGGGAAGGCTCATTTGTTTTCAACCTTTAAATATCGTCTGTCCATAAAACTAGAGAAGACCCTTCTAGAAGAACCTACCCTTTGCCCTTAGCTCATCCTCTAGTTTCACCCATGCTGTACTGGCTTACACTGTAATAGTTCAGTGGTTCTTTCTTCTTCCACACGCATCAAAGGCAATCAGCATCTGGCACCCATACCTCTCCCTTGACCCTCAGCAGGCTTACAGAAGCATTCTGACAGATATACGCTCTGGGTTACATGAGAGTGAGTCCTACTCTCTGGCTTCATGCACCCATGAAATGGGAGGTAGAAGAATGTTAAGTTAAATCTCAAAGCTACCACAAAGGCTTTTCTCTTGTGCCATCTCTTTTTCCAGAGAGGGTCCCTAGGACATCTGACTGCCCATCAGGTCCAATGTCTCAAGAGATGAGTGGGGATTTGCACTGTTGACCTCAGTGCATATCAACTGTGGTTAAGACCATGGAGCCAGGGACTGGCTGATGTGACAGCAAGTGTAAGTGGTCATCTCACTCATGAAGATATATTTGCAGGGTGAAACAAAGCAAGGAGCCAGAGAAGTATGCAAGGGAACTCACTTCTTCCTCTTCTATACCAGTCAGGTCCCAGAAGTAGCCCAGCCGCATCTGTAATCTCTTCCAGTTTTCAAGAAACATGGTAGCTTAAAGAGAAAGAAAAAATTCTATTAAAGAGTGTATTTTGAGTACCCTTTGGGTTCACCAATGGAGGCGGAGGATAAACTTGAGATTTCAAATTTAGGGACTCTCTTTAAAGCACTTATTCCCTTCCTCCTACTTCTAGCTGGAAATGCTCAAACTATTGCACATCCTTGAGAGCCCAATAGATACATGTAAAGGAGACACACCAGCACACACAGATGTATGCACCCCTTCCCATTTCTAGGTTATGAGAAGAGGGCAAACAGTGATCTCAAGAAAAGAAGGCAGGATGGAAAGATGAAGAAAACAAGTATGGAAGGGTCTGTAGTTTTTTTTGACAAAGCTCATCTTCCCTACACATACATTCTTTCTTCCTGCACCTTCCTCAGAGTTCTCACACATTTTCTCCCATCTTTCTTTCTGTCTCCAGTACCACATCCCTTCTCTGGGCCCTAGCTATCCTGTCCTGAGGTTATGTTCCACCTGACTTCAGTGTCTCAGCCTTCCAAGCCCGGCAGCATGTGGCCGACAGAGTATTCCCCCCTAGGGGCATTCACCCAGGCTTCCATTTGTTTAGCAAGTAGCTGCTGAGTGCCTCCCGTACCCACACGCCCGTCAGTCTGCCTGCTCCACCCTCAGCCCCTCAAAGTGCCGCCCAACATGCTCCGAGGAGAACCAGCACCTTCCACTCGACAGCAGAGGCTCGTTACACCAGGACTGAATACCTCATCCAGAGCCTGCTGATGGACCATACAGATCCTCTCTTTTGAAAACTGTAACTAAGAGATACAAAGAGAAGCAGAACTGGGATGAACCATGCAGCACCTGAAAGGAGAAAGGGCCAGGATTTCAGAGAGCTCCTCTAGCTCCAGTCCCCCAGAGGCCTGGCTCCCTTTCATCACCTGCATCCAGGAGCTTGCTTCTGGTTTTCTTACAACACCTCTCTTGTTCTTTGAGCAAGCTGGAATAAACTTCCAATCCTGCAAAAAGAACTGGGCCTGACTAAGGTAGCTGTAATATGCAAAACACCGTTCTAGACATCATGAGGGAGATTAGGTGAATCTAATGTGGATTTTGCTCTCAAACTGTTGACAGTCTATAGGGAAAGACTGTAAATAGCTACAATATGAGGCATGAAGTGCTCAGGGCCTTAAGAATGACACCGTAAGGAGCTGTGGGCATGCAGGAGAGGAAGTGTGCTGGCTGCCAGAGAAGCCATCTGAGTTGAGTCTTGAAGAACAATGGCATTTGGGCAGTGAAGAAGGGGCTGGGAGCGGGAGGATGCCAACACTCCCCCATCTAGACTTTCAATGGCTCCTTATTATGTAAGTTCTTCTCTCTGGAGGGGGGGGACCTTGTGTATGTGGCCCGACCCATCTGTCTAAATCCATTCCCTCAGTCTGTCAACACACAACCTCACACCTGCATTGCTGCTAAGGTCACCTCCTCGCTGCCTTCCTCATCCCGACTCATGCAAACTGTCCCACGCCCCTGTGCTGCCCTTCACAGGCTACCCTCATCCTTCCCTGACCCACTCTGCTGGGGCCGCCCTCTCCTCCATGCTCCTACTGTCCTTAGGGTCTGGTGCCCTGGAAAAGAAGGGAAGTGACACTCCCTGAGGCCACCCCCAGGACACCACCCACGGGAAAAGCCTGGGCTGGGCACCCTTCGCCACATGCCGCACTGGCCTGTTGGCTGCGACTCAGGTCTGCAGCATTACTGTAACAGGGCCGTAAACTTCATCAGCTCTTAGCTGCCTGTTTGCCTCGGGCACAGCACAGAACTAAGCAGAATAAACACCTACAGACCGGCTGAATGCGCATTTGCTAAAAGCTCCATTTGTTTTACTTGGTGCTATGTTACAGTGCACAGATTCACAGGGTTTCTCCCTTGGATTTGCAGCTTTTTCATTTAAGTGCATCCTGACCTCCCAACACTGGCACTGGCCTGGGGATGCTCTGGGAATAAGGTGGGGAGGAGGGCGTCCCTCCTTTTCCTATGCTCTTCTCAGTGCCTGAGGAGGGCTCTGCATACAGCACGGTCTGCAGTGCTTCCTGACTGCAATCTCTATAAAGAAGAGAAGTCAGAGCATGGGAACAGATGAGAGGGGCAAAGAAGTCACTGCAGAGGAGTCATGAGGACAAGGGAGGCCCGTCATAATGAGGAAGAGCAGCCCACAGCTCCTGGTGTGTATTGTCTGCCAGGCACTATGCTAAGTGCTCCGCACGCATATCTCATTCACTTGTCCCAAGATCACCATGGGGTGGGTATTCCTTCACCCATCTCACAGATGAGCATGATGATGCCCAAAGGTTAAGAACCTTGCCCCAGGTACATGGCATCTTGGTTAGAGTGCTGATTTTTGTGACATGGAGCTAGATCCACGCTGTCTTTTTGCCATGGATCCACAGCTGGTAAGGAGCAGGACTGAGACATGCATCTAGGACCGCCTGGCCCCTAAGTCAATGCCCTTAACTTCTATTCAGAACAGAGTTCAGAAACCCTGGCCCTTTACTTCCCTTTTCAATAAGGCTTCACTCGCTTTCTGAAGTTCCCTGGAGTCTGAAGTGGAACCACAGAGGATCTAGGCCTGAAGACTCCATAGACCCAGGCCCTGCTGACTAGCACCCTCCATATACCCCCACTCCTGTGCCACTGACAGGTAGTCTGTCTGCGAAGAACCACTTCTCCCAGCCTTCCTCCTGGCAGACTGGGCCCCAGCCCAGGCCCACCCAGCACAGCACCGCTGATCATAATAATAATGGTAATGAGAGGCAGTACTATTATTTTTAATCATAATTTGCAGGCAACCGTGCCCAGCGGCTCTTGGCTACTGCATCCAAATACACAATCACATAAAACACAGCCAGGCTGTTAAAAAACACAACTGAACCCCTCGCTATGCCAGGAAGCTCTGACACATCCCACCCTTCATGCTTTTCTTGAGCTGCCCCATGAGGGGGAGTGAGAGGGGCAGGGGTGGGGGCAGTAAATTATTGCAGATCCCAGGGGGCAGGAGGCATCTGTTAATTACAGCTATTGAGGAAAGAGAAGAGGTAGTTGTTGGGGCTTGAGAGTGGCCAAGTACAACTGAAAATCAAGTTTCTCTACAACAAGGAATTACACACCCCAGGAAAGTCCATAAGGGATCATGGACCCAGCATTATGAAGCTTTAGCTACTCAGTCATGGGAATCTCTTAAGACAAATGAATGGGAATTAGGATTGCCATATATCAAACACTGAATGTGTATTCTGGGTTCAAATCAGTTCCAGTGGATTTGAGGGTAATCATGAGATGCCCTGCTTGACAAGGAGACACAAAGCTGCTGCCTAAGACTCCCACACAACAAGCTTCAACTTCAGCTGGTTCTACTGAAGCCCTCCTGTGAACACTTCCAGGGCCCTATGGTGACCAGTGCCACCTCCTCCTACTCCCTGCCCCTACTTCTGTGGGCTGACTACTTCCCATGTGTCCCTGGGCAGGGGCTATTCCCCTGGGAAACAGAGAAGCGAGTGTCCCCTGGAAATGTTCCTTGGTGGCCTGGTAATATGGCAATCTTTCCAGTCTGGTTCTATCTCCACCCAAGGAGAGGTCCCTTCTGGGAACAGAGAAAGCTTGTATTAGTACTCCCAGCACTACTGAGAACAGACCTCTCCCTCTCCCTCTCTCTTCTTCACACTTTCAGGAATGTGTGACTCACGGTCTCATCCTGGCATGTCCTCCCGGCCCTGTGGAGTCAGTGATAACCAAGCATCCTCTGCAGTGGGATCACGGCCCTGCTGTTCTGTGACCCAATGGGGAAACTAAGGGCCTGCATATCCAATGATGAGTAAAAAGTGAAAGTCAGGTGGCTACTCAAGATGGGCTGAAACATGTTGACTTTGTTCCTTGTATGATATACGTGGGTATGTCTTCTTGGAAATGTCCAGTTACCACAGGGGTTATTATTCCAGGTTATTCCATTCCAGTTTGTGAACAGAAAGAGAGAGAGAGTGTGTGTGTGTGTGTGTGTGTGTTTATGGTCAGATGACTATGGCCAAAGAAAGTTTATTACCCTAGTACCCTGGGGGTAAAGGGAGGAGAAGGAAAACGAAGGAACTATCTGCTCTCTCCTTCACAAATCCCTTTGGTGGAAATACTGAAAACACTACTCTGGCATTAAGTAAAATCTCTACCATCTGTACTCATGGTGTCCTGAAAATTGCACAGAAGCTGGAGTCAGGAGATCAGGTTTGGGCCCACCTTCACCACCAGCCAACTCTGTGGCCATGGCAGTCACCTCACCACTCTGAGTGTTATAGTGACTATCTGTGACTTTACACATCTTAGCAGATATACCTGGAGTGCCTTATGGGTGTGCTAGGGATTTGCATTGGTTCAAATTCTGAATAAAGCATACATGAGATTAATACAAGATTAACATCCTCTGGCAGTAGCTTTGCGTATTTTCCTTTTGCTTGATATCTGTATATCCATATCTCAATATATACCCTTATTTGTGTACATCAACTATTTCTTCTTTTTCTTCTCCTTATTTTATCTTTTTCCTAGCTTTACTGAGGCACGACTGACAAATAAAAATTGTATATATTTAAGATACACAATAGGATGGTCTGATATACATAGACATTGTGAAATTACCACAATCATGCTAATTAACACGTTAACTGTCATCTCGCATGTGTGTGATGAGACCTCTTAAGATTGACTCTTAGTAAATGTCACATGAGTATTAACTATAGTCACCATGTTGTATATTAAGTCTCCAGGACTTATTTATCTTATAACTGAAAGTTTATACCTTACATACCACATTTTCTTTATCCATTCATCTATCAACAACACTTAGGTTGTTAGGTTGTTTCCATATCTTAGCTACTGTGAATAATGCTGCAATGCACATGGGAGTACAGATTTCTTTTCAAGACAGTGATTTTATTTCCTTTGGACATACACCCAGAGGTGGGATTGCTGGATTATATGGTGGCTCCATTTTTAATTCTTTTGAGGAACCCCAAACTGTTTTCCATAGTGGCTGTGCTAATTTACATTCCCACCAACAGTATATAAAGGTTCCCCTTTCTCCACACCCTTGCCAACACCTGTTCTCTTTTGACTTTTAGATAACAGCCAGACTAGCATGTGTGAGGTGGTATCTCACTGTGGTTTTGATTTGTATTTCCCTGATGGTGAGTGATCTTGAGCATCTTTTCATATACCTGTTGGCTAACTGTATGTCTTCTTTGGAAGAATGTCTATTTCCTCCATATTTTACATACAAGTTGTTAGAGGTTCACTTTATGATTTAGATTTTAGGTAAGAGAGTATTCAATGGGACTATGATGGGCTTCGAAGAGAAATTAATAAAGTCAGCAATGGGTAAAAAAAAAAAGATTAACATCCTCTATGTTTTTGAAAAATATATAAAGTCAAGGAGCATATTTCTAAGTTCTATTCACACACAGAAGTAAAAGAGAAAAAGCTATTGTCCCTAAAATACTTCTTGGGGTATAAGGACTAAATACTAGAGGGCATAAAACAAAGGATATGGGCTTTAGAGCATGGTCACTGTACCCATTTAAAGGTATCACCAAAATAAGCAAGGTTCATGATAACCGCTTACCCCATAGAGCCATGAAGATGGAGAAGAAGACAGTGGCAGGGTTGTCAAACAGGTGGCTTGCCTTTGCCGTACCACAGGCTGAGCTGAGGTTCCAGTAATCACAGGACTTGTCACACAGGGGACACATGGTGAAGGCATTCTGCTGGTCACACATCTCTTTGCTGCAGTAGAGAGAGGCTGCTGGGTCAAGTGGAGCTCAGGCAGGACCCACCCTAAGCAAATCAGCCTAAAAACATCTCCCACTTCCAAATCCATGGCTGAGCTGATCAACTCCAAAAGTGAGGTGTGTTAAAGACGTTGAATTCTTTACCATGAGAGCATTATTCCTGTATTTTGTCAAAGTGGGTGGGCCACTTCTGAGGTACAGATTCCATCACTAGGAGTGTCCGAACAGAAAATCAGTGAGCATCTGCCAGAGATGTTGTACACTGCATGATGCTTTATAAAGTCCCTTCAAAATGCACTGAGTCTAAGAGGTTGGTGGGGAGTACCACCAACTATGAATCCGTCACTTGTCTGAAGTTAGGTTTCACCATCTTCATGCAAGCACAGGCTGTCTCATTAAAGCCTACTGGCTGCCTCACAAATGTGTGAGACCTGGTCACAAGGAGAAGCAAATACAAGAGTATGGTTGGATCAACACAAGTTCTTACTTCTCAAGGAGAAGCCATGTGGAGAAGAATGGAGTCAGAGCTGGGTTGGAAACCCCTTTCTAAGTGCATCAGCTGCATGACCATTTGTAGAATGGGGATTAATAACCTCAGCCTAATAATAATGATCTAAACCATGAAATAGGATTAGGGGGAATGGAAGAATAAAGTAAATTCTTCCAAAGTCTAGGTTCTATGATACTTATAGAGAGAAGCATGAGTCAAAAAACCATTAGCTATATTCTAACCTATTCTCAGTATATTTCTATTTAGTGGACTAATGAATATAGTTGAAATTCCATTCACTCTTTAGGAGATTAGCTAGATCCAATAAATTCAGGCTCATATGAGTGCTTGCAAATAAGAACCAAAGAACAACCAGCCCTAATTGGCTTGCCTAGTGTCCCTCCACACTACATATTGGTAGGAAAATGAATGAACTCATCACTCTGGTGTGTAATATTTCCCCAGGGGAACGAGTAGATGGTGAAGTTCATTGTTTGGGGGAACAGGGTGGAGAACTCAAAATTTCACGAAAATGAAGCATTGGCTGTTCTCACAGAGCCGCTGGAGACACAGTCATGGGGAGGCAGGAAGTCCTACTCTGAAAACTGCCACTGTGTTTCCTCCGGAAAGAGACGCAGAGGGCACTACAGAGCATGGCTGACAAGTGGGAGGCCATTGCCAGGGTCAGCTGGCTGGTACCCTGTGTGCTAAAGCAAGTGCTTAGATGAAAGCCAGAAGTCAAGGGATGCCTGGGTCCAGGTCCCCTTCATTAGGAAGATGAAGGGTTTTTCTGAGGGCTGTCACCGTCTTTCAAGTCCCAGCTTTCAGGCTTGTTTTTAATGAGCTATTAAGCCAACAGCAAGGAAAGGCCTTCTGTGTGAGAGAATGGAAACTCTAGGTCTCAGAGTATAGCCTCATTCCTCCACTGACTTGCTGCTAAACTCTCCATTGGCAAGTGTCAACACCAGTGACTCATTCATAATGACAATATTACATAGTAACATCTTAATAGTAAGTTCAGCCGTGCTGGTTTCACTTGGGCACATTCTTATGGGTAACCGGAGAGCAAGGTTTATTCTAAGTCTTCTGGGTCCAACAAGTGTCTGCTGTATCATTGAGGAGGAGTCACCACTTTCAGAGAGGAGAATCCCCTATTAGAAAACAGATTCACACAGGAAACTATTGGTCTGTATAAATTATAGTAATGAGCTGTGCTTTTAAGCCATGTCTGAGAACATATAAGTTCCTTGGTGCTGCCCTTCAAATATGTGTGTCAGGGACATCACGTTGTTGTTTGCAGCTTTTTTTTTAAATTTTTTTTTGTTATTTTAATCACCATACATCAAATCATTATTTCTTATTTAGTGTTTCATGATTCATTCTTTGTGCATAACACCCAGTGCTCCACG